TATAAAAAATCTTATAAAAAAGCTTGGGACATTATTAAGCCTGAGGTAATAGCTGTTGTGGCTAGTTATTTCCAAGGAAATAATATCCCACATTACTTCAGTGCCTCTACTTTTGTGCTGATCCCCAAATCTGAGATGCAAACCAACTGGAATCACTTCAGACCAATTTTTCTAGCCACTGTCATCAGTAAAGCAATCAGTAAAATCATTGTCAATAGGCTTCAGCCCCATCTTGAACATATCATTAGACCCAATCAAACTGCATTTGTGAAGGGGAGATCCATTATTGACAACACTCTTTTGGCACAGGAACTACTACATGATCTGAATAAGACTTGTAGAGGGGGGGTCTTTTACTGCAACTAGAGGTTTGAAGCAAGGGGATCCCTTATCCCCCACCATCTTCATCATTGCTATTGACTATTTATCTAGAATTCTGGATGAATCTCTACTAAACCAAAGCTATACTATTTACCACCATAGATCCAACAAAGCCATCACTCACTTACTCTATGTTGATGACATCATGGTATTCTCAAGACCTCATAAGAATGCAATAAGGAAAGTGTATCAGACTCTTCAAAACTTTCAAACACACTCTGGGATGTGTTTTAGTACTGAGAAGTGCCTCCTTATTTTTAATAAGAAAGCATCTCCAAATTACAAATAATGGGCTTCTAGTTATACTGGCTTTTCCAACTCCCAGCTTCCTATCAAGTACTTAGGTGTCATGCTACTCACTGGAAGAACCTGAAAAATACAACTCGAGGAAGTCATAAATAAGATCACTTCTTATCTAAATGGGTGGACCCAATCTTTTTTATCTAATGGGGGTAGAATTACACTGCTGAAAATCATTCTAACTACTTTTCCCTCTTATATCTTGCAGATGACTAATATAAAGAAAAGCACCAAATCCAATTAGAAGATTTTAATAGGTTCCTATGGTCAGGACATAGGCAACAAATGTATTGGGCATCTTGGCAAAAGGTGGCTAAACCACAGCTAGTAGGGGGCATTGGCTTTAAGGGTCTTAACCAACTCTTTCAAATCAACTTATGTAAGCTATGGATTAAGTTTAGAGCCCAGACTTCTTTGTGGGCTAATTTCATGAGGGGCAAATATTATAAAGACCAACATCCCACACTTGCTGAAAGGAAAAAACTGGGGATTCCAAAATCTGGGGGAAGATGTTGGATATTAGACAAACTGCTGAAAATCTTCCTATTTGGGATTTGGGAAAAGGGGATATAAGCGTTTGGCTTGATAATTGGTGCCCCAAACATTGGTTGTCTCTTATCAGTAGTGTCCCCAACACTGATCTCAAGGTTGCTGAATGCTGGGTAAATGAAGACTGGTCTCTAATTAAGCTGTCAAATATTCTCCAAGCCAACTCAGTCACAATAATTACTAGTATTAAAATTGACAGAAGCAAGCCTGATAAAATTGTTTGGCAGTCATTCTGCAATCAAAGTCTTACCAAATCTATCTACTCCAAAGTCTTCCAATGGGAGCACATATCCTGGAGCACTATCATTTGGAACAATTTTCTATCCCCTTCCATGTCATATTTCTGCTGGAGGGCATTTCATAAACTACTTCCTACTGATGACATCCTTGAACTAAAAGGATTAAGGGGTCCTTTGAAATTCAGGCTTTGTCTACATGAGGAGGAATCACTGCTTCATCTCTTCTTTGAATGCAATTTTGTCCAACTAGTATGACACCAACTTTTGTCACACCTGAATATAGATAATAAACTCTTTACTTGGGACAAACTTACCACCTGCTGGAAGACATGGAATAAGAGGAATTATGCTTCTATACCCCTCATTGTTGTTTGGTTTATATGGATGGAGAGAAACAAGGCTAAGTTTGAAGATGGTATACCAAAAACTGATAAGATTGTTAGAAACAACCTTTCTTATGTACACAAGATGATTAAAATCAAAATATTCCCTAATATTTCCAACTCTTACTCTTTGGGATAGCCTGACCAGATTCAAGTCTACAGGGTCTACTGGAAACTTCCAGATCATAATACTATTAAGATAAATATAGAAGGAAGCTTCAATAATTCAAGAGCAAGTGTGGGGGGTGTCTACAAAAATCACTTGGGAAAATGCTTACTACACTTTTACATTCCTTTTATGGCTGTTGATGCACTTGAAACTGAACTTGTTGATGTTTATTGGGCACTAAAGATTGTCAAAATGACTAGCTGGTATAATTTATGGTTAGAAGTGGATTCTACAATAGTGATTAATATATTGAATTATGAGCAGCATGGACCCTGTCATCTTACATATTGGATCAAAAAAATCAGAGAGCTAACCTCACAGCTCAAGGTGCACTACACTTTCATATATAGGGAGGGAAACCAGCCTGCAAATTGGCTAGCTAAACAAGGTTATAACTCAAAGGATTTCTCTGTTGCTGTTACCCCTCCCCACACCCTTCAATTTTTATTGCAGGGAGACATGATTGATATCCCACATTTCAGAATTGCTAATCAAGACTAATGGAGACTGCTTTGCTTCATTCGATGTACCAAATCTCCCCCTCTTTTCTTGTGTTGTTCCCCCATATTGTTTGGGGTTTTACTGAACTTGATTTTGCTTCCTTAAATAAGCAAATTGTTGTTTTGGTTATTTTGGGAGGACTGATGATTCCTGTATTGTTCTCCAGCCGATCTTTCTTTTGTAATCTCCTCATTAGTCTAACATGTAGGGAGACAACAATATCTCCTTAAACCAAATATATATATATATATATATATATATAGTATTTGCCCACTATGAATAGGCTGATTTCGTCCATTCTTAAAGTCCTCCTATTGCACATAATGACCATAATTATCAGCACAACAAGAGATTTATTTATTTTGTTGTGCTATGAGTCAGCTTTAATTGTACAATTGAGAATGTATCTTAAGCTCTGTTTATAGGAATTATTGTGCTAGAAATTTTCAATTGTTGAGTGATAATTTAATATTTTTGTGTTGCACGAAGATCCATCACATTCAATTAAAAAAAAAGTAGCGGTATGAGACAACAGGAATTTTTATGTAAAAAATGCTGGAAAGAAAAAAACCACAGTGTCTGACCTAGTCAAAATAATCCACAATATGTTTTTATATATATTATTACACCATTCTCTTACGACATAGAGATCGGGTTACAATTATACACTAAAAACTATATTTAGCTTTATATAGATTAAAAGATACAAGTATCAAAAAATTCAAAAACAGATGTATTATAGCTACAACGGTTGCAAATAGTAGTTACTGACAAGCGACAACGATATGTGGTGATTGCGGGCAGCTGTCAACAGTGGCTGGCAGGCCACAGAGGCTGATGATTACTTGTCGAGTCTACTTTCTTGAACAAACTATAAATTTCACTTCTCCTTTTTTTCGTCCCCCTTCCCTTTTAAAGTGAACAGAAGAGACCTACATATATATAACAATTGAGGGAGGAGCATTTTGGTTTATTGGCGCATAATATCTTTTGCCGCCTGATCAGACTGATCCCCCTATAGACCACGATTCATACTGATCCCCCTTGATCATAGTGATTTTTTTAAGGATCTGAGTGTCTTATTGATTCTACAATTTATGGATCTCAGAGTCGTTGAAGTCTGCACGTCCAAATGATTTATTTGACCATAAGTATGTCAAATTTGAAGTTCATTTAGTCATTCAATTAATAATCCACATCATCCAATTATACTTCAACGACATATTCGGATTTGATTGGATCTGAATTTAGCCAAGTTTAGAGTCGTGCTCTTTTTTGAGAGACTCAATTTTATTATAAATGATGAATTCAATATAATTTTAAGTTTGACTTTGAAATATTCTTTATTAAAAAATACATTGAGATCATCTTTGATGATAAAAGTTGTTGATGACTTGCAGTACTCATTTGCACATCAAGATGAGATGTGGCCGCCTTACATTACATGCGTGCTGACGGTTAAGGTGGATTAGGCACACCGCAGCAAGCTTATTGGGCAATATGCAAAGCAAAATGCGGCACTACTTAGTTCTCCAATAATATATATATAGAGAGAGAGAGAGAGACAGTGAGATTAATAATTAAGCGTGTCATCGTTAATGAAATTTAATTCGCCGCATTTCAAAAAAAAAAAAATCTCTTCAAGTTTGGCACCGAGAATGGATGCGACATTTTCTTGTCTTCAGACATAATAAACCTGAATCATTAAGTCGAGATTATCTGATTTCTATTGCGTGTGAAGGTCATATAATAGAATGTTCTCAAGAATTAATTTGGTTAATCTCAAATATTTGTTTATAATTTATTTCAAAGTTTCCCACCTAACTCGATCTGCTACTTCTTAGAACTATTTATCTTGAAATCGCTGCTTAAAATAGAAAAAAAAAAAAAAATAGACTGACCTTCCTAAGAACACGAGAGCTGTTCTGAGGACTTTCAACAATCAATATTTATGATGTTATGCATGTTATAAAATATAAGTACCACGTAAGCCTTTCCGGCAGATTATTTTATTTGTGCATGCTTATTTTTAAAATAAATTGATAGAAGCAGTCAATAATAGAAAAATTCTTATAAGATTGTGAAGGCATATTTTTGCATTTCAAAATTGAAAAATTGCGTGCTCAAATGTACAGTCTATTATTGGCTGAAAAAATTTCGTCGCTCTACATAAAATAAAGAAGAAAAAACAAAGGTAGTGCAGGAGCTAGTTTATAATTAAGATGATTAATGAGGTCGTTAAACAGTTTAAATGGCAAATTGAAATGCAATTAAGCTATTTCTTTGTTCGATAATTGCAAATTTAATTGCAGCTTCTTCAACTAATAATTTTGTATTTATAACTCGTTGCTTGACTAATAATTTTGTATTTATAACTCATTGCTATTATGTTTTTATTCTATATTTATATTAGCATATGCTCGTTGCTTGACTAATAATTTTGTATTTATAACTCTTTTTATTCTATATTTATATTAGCATATGCTATTTAATACTCAAAAGTGCAAAAATTTCTTCTGCGTCTGGTCTTCGGCTTCACACCTCCCAAGCTTCAAGATTCCAACCTCATGTCTTACATGGCGCTAGACTAATTCTAGGGTTTCCCCCTCCCAAATCTAAGGTTGGTTCCTACCGCTTCTATCCCATCTCCCTTATTTTACTCCTCAGCAATTGATTTCTTGTAGATTTTTCTTCTTATAAGATTATCTGGATTCCCTCATCTGCCAATTTGCTTTAGCGGGATTTTGAAGATCTCGCTCCTGAGATTGATTCAGGTCTTTTGATGAGCTTAATACAGTTCTATGAATCGATTATGGCACTTCTTTTGTTGATTCTATCTGAAGACCGGATTCTCTTCTACTTCCGCTGCTGAAATTTTGGGTTTTGGTCGGAAAATTGATGGAGGAGGTGGAGGCGGCTAATAGGGCAGCCGTGGAAAGCGGCCACAGACTCCTTAGCTTGCTTGCGTCAAAGGCCGAAGATGAGGTACAACATAGAAGAAACATCGTGGTGGAGACAGGAGAAGCTGTTTCCAGATTTAGAAAGTTAGCTGCTTTGCTTGGAAATGGTATGGGACACGCGAGAGTGAAGAGGGCGAAGCCATCTGCGCAACTAACTCCATTTAATCATCAAAAGCTCGTCTTAGATTCTACATTAGCGGCAAAGGCCAGTCCCAGTACGAATTTGTTACCAAGAACGGGAGATTTGGACCGAAAAATGTTTCTCGAGAACAAACCATTGCCGCAAATTCATTCCGCTCCGAATCCTGTCCAGCTTGCCTCACAGTTCCAATATCTTCATCAACACCAGCAACATCAGCAGAATCAGGCTTTCCAGCTTCAGCAACAAATCAAATTTCAGGCTGAAATGCTAAGAAGAGGGAATAACGGTGGCATAAACCTAAAATTCGACACTCCTAGCTGCTCCCAGACCATTTCATCAACAACTCGTTCTTTTTTGTCATCCTTGAGCATAGATGCGAGTGGGAGTGTTTCAGGGTTAGATACCAAGTCTTTTAACCTGATTGGTGGACCTCAGTCATCGGAGCCATCGAATCTGCACCCTAATTCTCGGAGGAAGTGCACTGGAAGAGGGGAAGACGGGAGTGGAAAATGTTCCAGCAGCGGAAGATGCCATTGCTCAAAGAAAAGGTTGAAATCCAACAGTTTTTTATGTGGATTCGGTTTTAGGATGGTGTTAAGCAGTATTTTATTAAAGGCTGGCTAATTTGTTCTCTTTGGTTGGCATGTTTGTAGGAAGCTGAGAGTGAAGAGATCCATCAAGGTTCCTGCCATTAGTAATAAGCTTGCTGATATACCTCCTGATGAGTATTCTTGGAGGAAGTATGGGCAGAAGCCAATCAAGGGTTCTCCTCACCCTAGGTACAACTAAATATTTCATATGCTACATTCTATTTTCTTACCCAAATCGCTATTTTTGACTTTATAGGCATTATGCTCTTGTTTCATTTACTTTACTTCAAGCGTAGGATGGTGATGTAGAAATAGTTTAATTCATGTCGGAATTTTTATATGCTCCAGTGTAATTCTATCTTAATCTAAAATGTTTTATCACTCATGTGTTATGGTGTGACAGCCATCTATGTGAGAATTATGGAAGCTGTGTGCTTCAGGTTGGTTGGTTCGCTTGATTTTTTTTGTGAAGAATAATTATATGACCAAATTAAATCCTTCTAGGCGTCCTATTAATCAGGAGAAATAGGGAACGCCTTGTAATTATATTTGTAATTTTTGCCAGTAAAGTAAACTCTCTTGGGACATGGTTTGACATAAACAATGAATGAAATGTTGTTAAGTACTTTTTAATGGTTTCAATTTTGTACTATGTATATGTTGATTTGAAAATCTTATCTTTTGACATTTTTAATCCTGTTCTTTTTGCTAATGCTCTCTACTGTAACAAATTAACCACTAAGCGGACGGATCCATCAAAATTAGTAGTAATGTATTTTGGTCTATAGCTGCTTGTCAATGAAACACCAGAACATCATATTTTAATGAACATTTTATGAATTTTTTATAAGATTAAATATCTTTATCTTCAGGGGATACTATAAATGTAGCAGCATGAGGGGCTGCCCTGCAAGGAAGCATGTGGAGAGGTGCTTGGAGGATCCTTCCATGCTTATTGTTACTTATGAAGGTGAACACAATCACAATAGGCTAATGTCCCAGTCTGCTCAGACCTGAAGCTATTGGAGATCTATTGCAACCATTTTCAGCTCTTTATGTTCAATTCCAACCTTCTCAGCAGCCTATGAGCTCGTTTTCTGAGGATGCTAACTTTGATGCAGTATTCAACAATGTATCAGTTGATTTTGTGAGTTATTGGAGTGCAAAAAATGGTACAAAACATCCTTGGTCTCTCCTTTAGTGATCAACAAAGAAACGCTAGAACTCTTTGAATAATGAATTTTTTTTTTAATTAATTTTGCACGTCTAATGTTAACCTGCCTTTCAGCTGAACTGCAGGCAATCCTATTTAGAATTGTTAATGATGGCCTGACCAAACAACACGCATAGATATCTGAGCCTGTGACTTATACTTTCAATTTAATGGTTGCTTTTAGTGTTTGCCGATCCTGTTATGTTGAGTTTTAGCTTTTACTATGCTATGTTTTTTTTTTTCCTTTTATTTTTTGTCTAATGTGCAAGTCTGATTTTGTTTTTAGTTTTATTAATATTTTTTCTTTCCAGCCAATAAGAAAATTTTGATTGTTATTAGATTGCCTAAATTAGATTTGTAGGTTAACGTAAGTGTATCAAAATGGCATTTTGTTAGGATTATGCAACTGCTGGGAATTTCACACCAACTGTTTTTTCCAATAATTATGATGTAATTCAAGAATTTGCTGATTTTCAGCATCTGTTTTGTACAGTTAGGTAAAAAAAGAAATCTCTGCATTTCATTTATTTTTCTATCAATTGTGGTGGGTAAACGATCAAATAGAAGAGCTTGATTAAAAAAAAAATGGCATTTTTATGATAGCCTTAAGAAAATTATTTTGTATATAAAGAAGAGTAGCTATCTTGTCTTTTAAAATGACATTTAAAGTAATTTTTGAAAGAATAAATTGGGTTTTTGTATTTTTTTTATCAAATATTTGTACTTCATCAAGTTATTTCTTTTTTGTTCCTAACACTAGCATGTTCATTAGGGGGTCTTTCATAGTATTTTTCAGTTAAGTTTGATCATGATTATTACTGTCCAATATGTTTGTTTGTCGTTCGATTGGTATAAATATTTGTTTTAGAAGAGTTTGCACGTGGTTTGCACTTCAGGAGGATTTCAGTTCGACTCTGAAAGGCAAGGGGGAACCTTATGTTTTAAAATTAAAAATTTCTGAAAACCATCAGCTTAAATAGTTCCAAGAGTTCATTCGATGTGATTATGCAGATCTGCATATTTTTGTATCCAATGAAGTCAAACTATTATATATATTTGGCCGTTCATATGTTTATATAGCGCATGTATAAAATGAAGTTTTTAACTTTTTTTTTTATTAATTCTCTTTTTATTTCTACTGCATTAATGTGGTAAATGATACCGACACAATTAAGGAGAAATTTGGCTGACTTGCAGCGCGGGTAGCAATTTGGTCATCTCTATTAAATATCTTTTTTAAGTGGTATATCAAAATTTAAGCAAACGATGCCTTATAATTTGATGTTATGTTATGCCTTTATTTATTTATTTATTTTTTTTTTTTTTGTGGCAAAACATGATTAGCTTTTGAATTTAGGGTCTTCCATCTCTGAAGATTTCTAACCTTGGAATTTTTTATTTTATATTATACATTTTCAATAAAGTTTATTTTCTTATGTGATTTGGAGAGAAATTTGTTAAATTTGTTCTCTCGCCCATGGTGGAACCATGGTTATGCCAGGTGGGCAATTGTCAATTTAAAATTTAAGATTTTTCTATATAAGTATTAAAATTTAATAATTTTATTTTTCATATATTTATTTTCTTATATAAATTAAAAAATTTAATAATTGTCTTTCTCATTTTTCCTTTTTTCTAAATATTTTGAAAAGTTAGATGTTTGATGATTTTAGCTCACGCTAAAAAATAAAGATGGTTCCTCCTGTCCTGAAAAGAATATTGAATGACCTAATACATACATAAATCCATATATATATTCTTAAAAAATCCCGTAGGATATTTTATTTCAATAAAGAAAAGGTTACATAGTTTGTGAATGACAGTCTCACGAAAAAAAGAAACTGTCAGTCACGAAATAAAACTCAAGCAAAAAAGTCTAAAAAATATTATCACATTGAATATAAGGAATTTCTAAACAATTATCATGAATACGAATAGAAATCTCATGAGGTACTCGAACCGAGAATATGAAGTCTTGTTTCTCCAATCCACGCTTAGCAGCCCAATTTGCACATTGGTTTCCTTCGTGATGTGTAAATAGTCAATTAAGCTGCACAATCTTAAGGAGAGCAGATATTTTTTTCATTTGAATAATAAAATTCCAAGGATATGTTTTCTTCTTAGTACAGCAGTTCCAAAAATCCAAAGAATCCATCTTAATATCAATCAAAAGTCAACCGCAATTAACGGCTAAAGTTAATGCAACTATAAAAGTTTCAGCTTCAGAACAAATAGAAGATACAATGATAGTAGGAGCAAAAAACCAGAAAATACATTTTTCTTCAAAATGACGACACACTCCACAAATTTCAGCAAAAAATTTATTCCAACTTCCATCAATATTAATTTTAAGAAGGCCGCGCAAATGTTTATTCCAGCAAATTAAATTAGTAACAGACTTACAATAAGAAGGAATATCTATATTAATTCTAGCAAAGATGTTTCTTAATTTCAAACGCAAAGGTTTTTTAAAATTACAAAAATGAAGTATACTATAAATAAAATTAGTAATGAAGATAAAACATGAATGAGTAGTAATCAAATTGTCATTATGTTTAGATTTATTCCTAGCAAACCAAATGTGCCAACAAATAATATTAGGAATAGAGGTAAAAAAAATATTCTCACCAACAAATCTCCAAAAGTCAAAGAAACCATTGATGGAAAAATTAGTAACATCATTCCTCGACATAACACAAAGAGTGAAAATATTACTCCAAACCTCCTTAGCATAGGCACAAGAAATAAAAATATGCTCCAAATTATCTTCCTTTTGTTAAAAAGAAAACATCGAGAAGGATGACGTAAACCTTCTAATTTAAGAATATCATCAGTAGGTAAGATGCGATGAAAAAACGTTCAAATGAAAAATGACTGAGAAGGCTTAATAAAAGAATTCCAAGCCCAAGATAAATCAAAACCATTGCAATAAGATAATGATTTAGCTAAAGTTTTAGAAATAGAAACTCCATAATTACCTTTAATATTGATATTATCAATATCATTAGTAATAAGAATTTTTTAAATAAGAATTGCTTGATCCTTCCCAACTAAATTACAAAGTTTAAGAAAATCCCAATGACCATTATTCCAGCAGTTATGAATAGAAAAAAATAATATCTAAAGGACCCAAATTCGAATTAGCCAAAGGATCATCTCTTATCCACCAATCATACCAAAAACTACAATTTCCTTCACCGACATCCCAACAAATGAAATCTTCGGTAATATGAGAAACTTTAAGCATTTCTTTCCCAAAAAAAGAATCATTAGGTTTAGAAGTAATATAAAGGGGATGAGAGTTACCACAATATTTAGTCCTCAATAAATTGGACCAAATAGAGTTACCTTTACGAAAATGAAACCAGAGCTTCATGTAGTTGATGTGCATAGCATCTGTAATGCTTCTAAATCCCAAACCTCCATTATGAATTGGTTTGCACATTTTCTTCCAACTCATCCAATGAAGTTTAGAATCTTTACCGACCCAAAGAAATTTATTAAAACTGCTCTCAATTTTTTTAATTAAATAATTTGGAATTTTCATGAAAAGTAATGTATATAAAGGTACAGAAGTAAGAATACTTTTAAGAAGAGTAATCTTACCACCAAAAGATAGAAGAAGGTTATCCAAGGACATGATTATGTTATTGATCTTTTCAATAAGATTATCAAAAAGATGAACTTTTCTTTTGCCTTTATCTAGATTGAAGCCTAGATAAGTAAAAGGCAAATTCTCTTTATTGCATTTGGTGAAGTCCTGGATCCAATTCTTCTTGATACTAGAAATTTTCTTGGATCACTAGAAATAACATTTATTCACATTGTAAGACATACCTGAAATGTTTTGAAAAATATCGAGTGCATCCCAAAGTTTCTTGATAGACATCCTATTAGCATTGGTAAAAAAAACCAAATCATCTGCATAAGCGAGATAAGATATTCCTAAATCTCCTTTAATAGAATAATACATAGTAGAAAAATTATTAAATAAATTATTAAGATATCTATACAAAAAATCAAAAGCCAGGATAAAAATAATAGGAGACAAAGGGTCTCCTTAGTTAATCCCACGACTAGAAGAGAAAAAAAAACCACATTTCTTACCATTAATCAGGACAGAATAGAAGTTATTATGAAGAATTCTCTGAATAATAGAATAGGGACGATTATTAAAACCTCTAGCCTTGAAAATTTTCAAAATAGAACCCTAACGAATAGTATCAAAAGCCTTCTTAATATCCATTTTAAAAATAATGTTCCCATTTCTACAATTCTTTTCAAGATCTAAAATCATTTCTTGTAAAATCAAAGCATTTTACACAATAGATCTACCTTTAATAAAGGCCGACAGATGCAAGGTAATTATAATATTAAGATGAGTTTGCAGTCTATTAACCACAATCTTAGAAATGACTTTAGAAATTACAGTATTAAGATTAATAGGTCGAAAATCATTCCAACTATTAGCATTCACCTTTTTAGTAATAAGTACAAGATTAGCGGATTTAAAATACTTAAGAAGATCCCTTCCTCTAAAAAAATCTTGTACACAAAGCACGACATCATTTCCAACAATGTGCCAACAAGAAATATAAAAACAGAAGTAAAACCATCAGGACCAGGAGACTTATTGCTATCAATATAAATGAGAGCATGTTTAACCTCAGAATGATCAGGAATATTGGCTAAATCAATTCCAGCCACAAGGTTAACATCATCAGCAAAGAAGTCATTATTAATATCAAAGAGGACATTATCATCATTATTAAACAAATTAAAAAAATAATCAATACCATTAGCTTCAATTTGTTCAGGAGATTCAAGAATGTTACCATTATCATGTTTAATTTGCACAATATAATTTTATATTCTTCTCTTTAATATTAAAGCATGATAATAAGCAGTATTTCTATCCCCTTTTAAGAAGGAAAAACTAGCTATTTTTTGTTTATAATATGCTTCTTCCATATTGATAGCAATAGTATATCTCTCATGGGCAGCTAACAAAGAAGAATAATCAATTCTATCATAAGTATAATCCTCATCAAGATGAGAAGATCTTCTTCAGCTAACAGAATAGTAGTATGCAAATTCCCAAAAATATTCCAATTCCAAGTTCTAAGATTAATAGCCAAATTTTTTTGTAATATCCAAAGTTTACTAACAGCATTACCAGAACAGCCAATATATCA